CAATGTGAAAGGACTCACGCAGAGAAGTAAATGAGCTGAAGCTACAACTTGTTCCCAGGCCATCTGCTAAGGCTTGAAATCTAGAACTTTAGTTTTCAAGGGGCACCATGCAGAGCACAGGAAACAAAGCTTAGAACCTATCTATGGTGAGAAGTCACATTGGAGACATCTATAAAAAGTGTAAGATAAGAAGTTTTAAACAAAGTTCTGGAGCATGCAAAACAATCCCAGACGGAAGGTCTTAATTGCATGAAAAAAATGTTTTACATTTGAACTTGTGCAGATTTTTAAAATTTAAGGAAGAATGAAAGAACAATAATATATAAGGCATTCCTGAAGAAGAATAAGATGGGTATTTGTCTGTGGGCAGTGGGGAGGGAATTGCTTTACCAGAGATCAAGATTCATTATAAAGCTCTAGTAAGTAAAGGTGCGTGGGGTTGATGCAGAGATAGACTATCAGTTCATAGAATAGAGAGCCCAGAAACAGACACATACATATGCGGAAAGTTGATTATGTTATATTATGTTAATATAGTCAGTTAAACTGGATTAGCTTAAAGGTATCTGGGGAGAAGAGAAACTGTGCATCCTGCAGAGACAACTGGTCATGAATATGGAGAAAGGGAAGAAAAGAAGCACAACCACATTGGGAGAAAATTCTCTATGGGCCTCTCACGTTTCTACATGTCTTGCAAACAGAAGCACTGGCTGCCTTCATTCCTGGCAATCTTCTTAAAGATGGTTACACAACAAACAGACTTGTAAGAGAAAGACATGTCTCAATCTGGAATGAAGGCCAAGTTTTATTACTTTCCAATATAATATAGATAAGGTGTCCCTCTGAGGCAAATGTCCGGCATGTTTATTACCCATTATAAAAGATTTAGATTCCCTAAGGTTGGGGTTCCTCATCTATAATATAATTGTATGCAGTAGTTACCTGGCCTTTTTTGAGTCACCCTGTGAAAATTGGAGGCTTAGGAACTGTCATTAATACTAATACTCTAGCTACTGCTATTGACTTGACTAATAAAGACCTTTGTATCTGACCCTGGAATCTTGTGTCTTTTGCAGGTATCCATGAAACTGCAGCAAGCTAACTTCTTAGCTTGCAAGTAGGGTAACCTCTCAGACTCTTCAGAGTTCTTGACAATCTCTACATCATATTGTGCACAAAAACAATTTCAGATGGATTAAAAATNGTATTAAAATAATAGAAGCTGCAGAATTATTTTTTAAACCTGGTTTCAATGGACACATATCGTTCTCTGTTTACAACACAGCTACATGAGAAGGCACAATGGAACCCATTACATCAAAACAGCTTGAGATGTGAATGGAGTCACCATAAAACTTATTGTCCAAAGAAAGATTCCTGAGAGTAAAAGGAAGCACTATTAACTATACACAGACAACAGGTTTAGGACAACAGTATGTTTAGGTTAGGACCACCCTAAACATACCTGTAGTAAGTACAGGCTCCTCGGGTGGCCTCTCTCTGTAGAGTTCATAAGAGTACAAGCGAGCAGACTCTTACCTGGCCCATGCACACTACCAGCCACTGTTGTCACCTTCTTGCTGCTCATTATACGCTGTTCATTTATTAAATTTATTATTTACCTGTCATCGTTGTTTTGTTTTTTATACTAACTACCGGTTAGAAGTGGACATCAGCAAACTGAACGCCACCTGCGTGTTATTACATCTGGGTACTGAAGATACTCTACCTGGGGCTCCTCAGTCCTTCGGATGAGAAGTAATAACACAGGCTTCATCTCTTGATGATTAAAGCCTCATTTCAAGGATTTGCAAAGAAATATTAAAAATGTTAAATATAAGTGAAACCTAGTAAGAAGTCACTTTACACTGTGATTAAATATTATATTTATAATCATTAAATAGAATTCTCTTCATTCCTATTCTCACTTAAATGAATTGGGAAAGAAAAAATATATATATATACGTATCCACTTCTACTTCCTGAGCTACTTTTAATATTACAGACATACTGACTTTGGTGTGAAACACGTGCAAGATGGAATGGCAAAATGGAAATACAAGGGAATATACTGTACCTTGTTTTACCTGTAAGGAACACACACCTGACAAAAGGCAATTTTCACATCCAAAGTTGGTTCACTGCAGTAGTACAATAAATGGAGGCTCATAAATACCTATAGAAAAAAGGGGGGCATGAATTTCCAAATCACCTCATTATTCATCATTTATAGTATAAACCTTACTATAATTGGAATTATATACAAGGTATTTCAGCTTATTCCTTATGCAGACCACTCTGAGGTACTTTTCACAAATTGTAAATATTAAATAATAAAATAAGGTAAAA